TTTTGCAAAATGTAATTTTCGCTATCCCAACTTAAGTCATTTTCTGTTTATGCATCTAGCAGTAAGCTCATGAAGTCTTTTAACTAGGTCATCCTGAAATGAACCGACATTTGTTTTAAACTTGAATGTAGTAAATCTTCTCATTTTTAAATCCCTACCTACCTGAATTTTAATTACTGGCCCTCAAAATATCGAAAAGGTGTAACCTCATTCAGTAGTAACTCAAATAAAAAGTAAAATCCCATTATAGTCACTCCAGTCGTGAAAATGCAGCCCCATCCAGCGGCAGAAGGCGCCCAAAAATAGACCAGAACTGGGCTTTCTTTGAAAACAATAACCAGGGGCGTACCTGCCTGTAAACCAAGTAAGCACTAGCTTAAAAGTTTTTTTTCTTTTTTGAATTTAAATTTTGTCAAAACTCTATATAAGCCCGAGGGTAATCTCTCTGAGAAAATTTCAACAGGTTCTCTAAAGAGTGACAAATGAAGTCCGTTGAAAAAGTCAGCAAAGAGCAACCTCGTTCCCAGGGTTCTCTCGTACGCGTCCCTACAGAGCGAGGAGTTGGAGAGAAAACCTGGGAACGAGGTTGAGCAAAGAGCTAGGGACAACTGGAGTCCTTTTTGACATTCCGGAGCGTTCATTTAGTGCTATGCGGAGGGTGAAGACCGATATGCGGTCTGCCATGGGAGCAGAGAGGCTGTCTGGTCTCGCTCTCCTGCACACTTACAGAGATTGGATCATCGACACCGACAAAGTCGTCTAAGAGTTTTGTGCTAAGAAAGTGCCTCGATTGGCATTCGAATTTTGAACATTTACATCGTATAACTGAGACGTAACGTTGGCATTGACCTGCATGTTATCACTCTTACCGCATCTATTCGATTAACCGCCCTGGGCGCTTATTAAATTTTTGGACCTTGAGAGTGGGCGCTTATTCGAGGTGGGCGCTTATTCGAAGCTGGGCGCTTATTAAATTTTCACCATTTTCAGCAAGTGAAGTATGTTTATTTTGCAACAAAACAATAAATAATAATAACAAAACGCGAAGAAGTAACAAAGCAAGGTTTCTGTAAAATACTCTGAAGAAAACTCCGTCCTCGGGGAAGTCTCTTATAACTTATTCACTTAAGTGGGTGGGTTGGGGGTGAGCGCTTATTTGAGTCTGATTGGGAGGAGGAGGGGTGGGCGCTTATGCGAGGCTGGGCGCTTATTAACTTTTTCTGCCTTTAGGATGGGCGCTTATTCGAGGTGGGCGCTAATTCGAGGTTGGGCGCTTATTCGAATAAATACGGTATCTTGTTTTAACGTTTAAATTTTCCATCTCGTAACTATTTCGTTCAACACTGAACAACACTAAACCCTAGCCAATTCATTTAAGTGTATAAAGCTAGCGTGCGGATTAAAACTTTAAAGTATTGTTAAATGTAGCACTAACTTCAAAAAATGTGATCAGCTAAATAATGACAATAACGCGATGTCTTTGCGTATTATGCTTTATTTAACCTTTTCTTGTTTTAACTTGTGCCACCTGGCTTATTTGTAAAAACTAGCCAGGAACGCCCCTGATAACCACTATATATTCTCGTCCCAGAGCTACGATCCCATTGGCCAGCGCCACGGATCTCGCAAACGGGCTTGCGCGTTATATCCTGGAAGTAGCCAAAGCTCCTCCGTTTCGCTGGCCAAAAGTATCCCAGCTCTAGGTACGAGAAAGGGATCAAGAATGGATTGGGGCAGCCTTACTTTTTAGCTACTAGGTACACGTTCCGAGCATCTTTGGATCAATCTGGTACCTCTAGCAAAACGAAGACGCTGGCTTGGGACGGGAAGGCCCATCGTCCCCACTTGCATTGTCAGATCATTCAAAAAACAGCCGCGTGACTCTGAGGTGGAGAGGAGAATGGTGAAACACCGGTTTTCACCAAACGTTTCTATGAATTCATACCGGGAGAAGGAAGTTTTTGTCCCTCCAACTGCTTTTTTAGATTGGCCAAGAGAAGGGCGAGGAACCCACATACTGCGGAAGTAGAAGGGAGAAGGGGAGAGAGAGTGACGACGTCTCGTAAGACACACATCCGTTTGAAGGTTTTAGATCTCTTTGCATTTTACAGGACAGTGTTGTTTCGAAATCGCAGAAACTCAGCTCTTAGAGCTTCATTTAAGCCTGGAGCACAAATTTTCTCAGGAGTAGCGTGAAATGTCGGTCTCAGCATTAATAAAACAAAAATGTTTATTGACGTGGATTTTAAAAGCAAGGTCTTCCTAGCCTGCGAGCAAACTCTCCGGGGCACTCTGGAAGAGGAAGGAGAGCCTACAACTACGTCTCTGGAAGTTGAATATCAGCACCGAAAAAGTCGATGCAAAGTGCTAATTGGCAGAGATGACATTAATAATGACGTCATTACCCTTGCCACGTGTTTTTTCAGTGTCTGTTTACATCGGCGCTCGTTTCTGCGTTGATTGGTGGAAATCTGACAGCTCAGTGGACGGGGAGCTACAGGGGAATTGGAGGTGGAATTCAAAGTCCAGAAACGTAGTTGTAAGCTCTCCTTCCTTTTCCCGCCCTGCCGCCAGAGCGCCCCGGAGAGCTTGCTCGCAGGCTAAGGTCTTCCGGTCTTGGGAAGACTCGAATTCAGTATCCTTGTATGGTTAGGCCATCCCCATTTTTTTTTCGTTTAGCGTCGAATGCGTTTCCTGATATTTGGTCAGTCGGTCGCATTGAAAAAATAAATAAATAAATAAAAAATAACAAGAAGTCTCCGAATGGGAGGCCCTGGTACCCCAGGACATCGGTCAAAGTTAACATTCACATATTTGGATTAACAAAATGCACAATATACTGTAAAAAATGTTCCTGTTTTTCTGTTACTATGCTCATTTTTCAGATTAAAAGAATTATTTCAAGTGAAAAATGGTTAACAACGTCGTTACTTTTTAAATGCCAAAAATTTGGGTCGGTCGGACGACGCTAAACGGAGAAACAAGAGAGGATGACCTTAGATAGGCCCAGGTGACACGCAAAAAGAAAAGCGATTAAGAGACAGATTAAACTAGTACTTTTATTGCTACTTTTACAACAACTGCACGACACGAGACACTTAAGAGAGGTGATAAGAAGTCTCTCAAAGAGGCTGACTCATTACAGTGGTAGTTGGTCATTTTTTAAATATAAAATAATCATTAAGCTCCCAGTGATATAAAAGCAAATTGATAAAATTTTTCATATTAAGGTTAGAACGTGCACTTTGAATAAAAGTGAAACTTTATATATTATTTCCTTCCGTCAGGGCGAGTTAATAATTTCTTTTCTGCGCAAAGTTCATATCATCCTCGGAAACCCAGGATCAGTAGGGGCATTTCATCGAGGCGAGATATTCAAGAGCAAAGACATAAACGCAGGCAAATTCTTCAAGATTTTTGCTACAATTTCTACTATTATTATCATGGGTGATAAATTAACCAATATATTGGCGCAAAGTTTCCGCGTTGACTTAAAATTTCAACTCTGACATTACAAAACTGCTACAACGTTTCATAGATATAGTGTCCTGTTATAATTAGCCCGCATATTAAAACTGGAGTACATTTTTCCCCTTTTTTCAGGCGAACGAAGGCAAGCACGAAGCGAGCGAGGAGGGTCAGACGCGCGCGACAAAAGGAAGACGCGTCCTGCGCCCCTCGCTTGCCTTCGCTCGCCTGAAAAATGCGAAAAAACAACGCCTGTCATGCAAGGATAGTTCCAATTAGCTGACCCTGGATTTCCTCAGTATGATGAATCCACAATCGCTCAGCGCGCATTTTTACGTTACTGTCTTACAATAACAAAATAACAGTCCGATATAGCTGATATATTATACACACATAAAACAAATCTAAAATATTTCCTGTTACGACGATAGATAGACCTCATTCACAATGTCGGCCATCTTTGCAAGCACGAAGGGATTGATAGGATTTTTATCAGTTTTTTGGCAACCCCTGAGAGACCTCCTGACATTGCTGTGATTCGATGAATCCTTTGGCGCGTGCAAAGATGGCTGGTATACAGTCTATGAGATGAACACGCAAGATAAAGGTGCAGTCAATTCTCTCCTAAAGGACATCTTGGAGTTACACCCTGTCGTTCTTCAGTCATAAGGGAGATTCAGCAAAGATGACGGCGAGGGCATGGTAAACTATAACTTGTTTCTAAAAGTCCTTTATTTCATTATGCCGCCACTTAATTGCTCGCTCGATCGCTGCGCGATCAAATTGAAGCTTGCTTCTTTCGCTTTTAAGAACTTATGAGAGGTCGACTTGCTGCTTGCCTCAGTAAACGTCAAGGAAGCAACAGTTTTAGTATTATAAAGCAAACCAACAATTTTCACCCTAGAGAGTTCCTAGTTTCTCGTTTTACGGACCCAATGCAAACACAACACAACTGTTTGCTTTTTCCTGAACTTGGTGCATAAGAATTCAACTCCAAGAAAAGTCACCACCAACTGAAAAATAAACGGTGGAACGCAAACAACGCGATTTCACCGTCATCTTATGCTCATGTTGCCTAGTTTCGAAAAAGCGAAACCCTGAAGGATTGTGGTAGTAGCAGTCAAAAGACGTCATCATGCATATCGCCAATATTGAACCAATATTCAACAAGAATACAGACTCATACCCTCTCCCCCTCAGTTTGACACTTGGTAGTTACTTTGACAATTAAAAGGACACCTTTTTAAGGCCAACACTTGGTACCAGTCCCAATGGTGTTCCATGTAGGAGAAAATTGACTTGACTGTCTAAAGATTAGGCTGATTTAGAAACAGAACGGGAACGTCAGTCGACGACAGGAAAGCGCGCGGACAGGACTGAATGCGACTTCCCTTGCCAAATTTGCTGCCCTGCCACAGGTCAAGACTGTTGTTTGATTTGCATGCACTTTCATCTTACTGACGTTCCCGTTCTGTTGCCAAATCAGCCTGATACCATTTTAGTATGACTGGTGAGGATAACACACTATTAAGTTAAAAGCGGTCATTGTCGTGGCCTTGAGTTTGTTCAAAGAACATGAAATCCTGAAAAAAAGAAAACAAAAAGTTAAAAAGCTTAAAATCGAACTGCATGCAGACTGACATTGCATTGGGGATGAGATCAAAGTCTGTTAAGCTGCCAATATTAGATATCACAGGCAAGTCATAAAGCTTCTTAAGACAATAAAGGCATAAAAAAAGTCATTACTTTTTAATGAATGTCATTATCATCTGAAATCTACTTATTAAAATATAATCAAGATCAGCAATAAAAAGTGTCTGGAATATGTAGAGTGTGAGCAGTCATCCTTCTTTCCTCAGAGCATCGTCCAGTGGGCAAAAAAGTAGAATAATGAAAATTAATGGTAAAAAAGAGGGGAGATTGGGGGTGGGGAGAAGAAAAGTTTTTTCTTGCTTTTTTCGTTGCTCAAGCTTTCACCCTTGTTCCTTGCAACTTCACCACTCTAACCCTCACCAGTGCTCTTGACTCAAATGAAAAATAAGAGACTGTTGGGCATTTTGTAAGTAAAGAAATCCATCTAACACCTCTGTGAATAAAACTTGCGATATATATCACAATAACCAAAGTTCAGGAGAACCAGGACAGGGATTTTTCAATATGTCTAGTTTGGAAAAGTCTGCAAGGGGTGTTAAATAACCTGGAAAAAGTTGCAACAAAAAGTCTACTTTTGTCTTTTCAGTAAGCAGAGATAAAACTTAGGAAAACAAAACTCATAACCAAGGGACATTGCATGTATAGTAGCAGATGATACAGAAGTTTGATTCAAGTGTTTGTACTTACAATGAGGAAACATGCCCCAAGTATAACTCCTTTTATCTTGACATCAAGATCCATGGGGACTAAACACAATAAGGAATACACAGACAACATTATTATACTTAGTTAATATTGCCACATTTGGTTTCATATGTTTCCCAGTGTAACTCTCTAAACTAAGGGCCATTGATCACTACAGATAACTGAAATAAAGAGAGTCCATTTACAGTCTGTACAGTCACTTACACTTGATACTACAGATAATTACAGAGCATTATTGTAACAGAGTAAAGAGAAACAGGTGACATGCAGTACTTGACATTTTAAAAGTAACAGCAACAATATTAAAAGAAGGACCATGCATGGGTGAAAATGCTGGCATGGGCATCAACAGATGATATCTGAGGTATCTACTGGTAATCAAGAAATAATTAAAAACAATGTACATTCATTTGTTGGTCAGTTATTATTGAGTTTCCTTTTTTTCATTCATTATTGTACATTACCATCTAACTCCAAAAGCCAAGGAAAATAAAATTTAATAAACGTACTTAACTAACAACAAGGTGCAGCAGGAATAATACTAGATCAAAAAAAATCCAGATGGCACTGATAGAGCTTCAACTGAACAGGGTTGCAGCCTTAGACAGCTATGTTAATCCCAGGATGGTACTTCCTACAATGGCCTATAAAGGAAGGCTCCGCCCAAAAGGGGTACCAGCTTGTTATGGCACCATTAGTTGATAGAAGGTATATTAATGGTATATAAAAGGGTAAGGGGTTGGTCTGGGCAGGAGTCTCCTCATATAAAACTTTGTTGAGTAGCCCCCACTCCTCTCCTTGGGTTTCAATCTTGTTAGAGCTAAAAGGTTAAAAGGCAATTTTCCTTTTACTTCAGTGCCGGATCCAGACCTCGAGATAACGGGGGCAAGCAGTCATCCAGACCCTTAGATAAGGGGGCGCCCGGTCTCCCCAGAAGCTTTTTTTCGGCCCTTCACCCTCAATTTGGTCCAAAAATAAGGGGAGGAGGGGGGGCAGGCCCCCTGGATCTGCCACTGTACTTACCGCATTTTCTAAAAGATGGCTCACTGTGTATATTTATCTTATAGCCCTTCATCCTGGAAAGAAGAATAACTTATCTGTTTGTCTGTTTTCTAACAAGGTCTTGACTTACATGTGATTCCGAAATTATCTGTATCAGTAAATGCCTCCTTAACAAGTCCACTCCACTGTTTTGAAATCTTCCCTACTTGGTTTTGGCCGTCGGCTGACAGAACCTAAGACAAACCAAAACACATGATGAAGTTGAAATTCAAATGACTGAAACATTCATACACTAAGTGTACACTGTTCTGTGGGTCAATTATACATGACAACATTATGTTCTGTTGTATTAATTAGAGGGGAGATTAATGATTCTCATAATATCTCATTATTGAATTCTAGGAATTAAAAAGACTGAATGACACAACTCTTTAAGTGTTCTCCATTGGTCAGAATTATAGCCATCCAGACCAGTACGTTCTTAAACAGGAACAATTCCACTGCTGATCAGAACTATTCCAGCTACATGTACAGCAGCTCAGTCTGTTCCCTACTAGTAACACATGCATGGAAGAGTTAATGGGTGGGAAAATATAATCCTTACATGGAATTCAACATCTCCACAGATATTACACTGGCAGAAAGGCCCTTCAATCTTCAAGACAGTCTCTCTTGCGGCATTCTGAATTTCAAACTTTGGAATGCATATCGACCACCTGAAAAGATCATATGGGAAAAGCTGATTATAATCAGAAAAATCTATCCATTTATTTTTCACCTGCCTAAGTCAACTATCTTTAAATTACGTTTTATCACACATAGAATATATGATTCAGCAAAGCAATGTTATTGTATGCAGACTGCGCAACATTATTGATGTATGGCACTCAAAATATCAAATGAAAAAACTAATTAATGTTTTTTTACAATCCTAATTATCAACATAAAAAGATGAATCTTTAACACAAAATGCTGGTGAACACACGTTCATTTGATATTTTGTCTGTTTAAAAGTATGCAAGCACTGTTTTTTGTTTCATGGGTGCAAAAGCTTAAGGCCAGGCACTTTTTTTGCTTGTCCCCCAAAATAGCCCCCCACGAGTTGGGCTACGGAGATTTTGGGACCCTAGTCAGAGTATTAAACAAGGACTTTTCTCACGATTGAGAGCAATAGCCAAGAACTGTCCCAGGTGGTGACTGTATTTCAATCTCTTGCAAGCAACAGGGAAACCAACAAGATGAGCATCGAAGAGGTCGAGATAAATGAATGACTTCACGCTGTAAGTTGTCTAAGATCTTCATCTCAAATGGTCTGGAAGGGCCACAGCATTGTCGAGTACAACAATCAGTGTCTAATAAATTGTACAAAAAGGAGTTAAGCATAGGCAAATGGATTATTGATCAGGTTTTAGGTGCTCAAAAGATAGATAGTGCTACATATCCACTAAGATAAATCTCAGTCTATCTAACGGATAATGCAATAGGACTTTATATCCCTTAAATTTACTATCCAGATCTGAGTGTGCCACTGAGTCTTTTAGACTTTGGACCTGCTCTAGAAAAAAAGGAGATGAATTTGTGACCCAAATAAATAAATAACAATTTGAAGGTAGCACATCCACATAGTGGTTCTTCGTTTACCTGATTTCTGGTTGAATTGGAATTTGGAAATGTCTGTTTTTTGAGGAGAGGGGAAAACAAGAGTACCCGGAGAAAAACCTGCGCCACCCTCGCTCCAATGTTCCCTTGTTCCATTAGGGAAAATTAGCATGCCTTGTTGAGCAGCACATGGACATGTGCCTGCATAGCCCATATATGGGTGTACCTCCCACCTCTTCCTGAGCTTATCCACTACATAGCAAGCAAATTATTAAGTGGAAAACATTATGCAACCTTTGAATATCTGATGACAGAAGTCCAATATAGACTAGTTCACTCTGTCTGTGGCAAACATTTATGCAAATTAATTGGAACAAAAGAAAGTGTTTACATGAGGAAAGAGTTTAAGTCCCTTAGGAATTTCTTGGTATGCCAGCATGACTGCCATTTCATTGTTTTGGAACGCCAAATGGCCACCGTGACGTCACGTAAACAGGCTTTATTAGTTCAAAGGTAAAGTTATGGCATATCACGTTTAAGGTTTTAAAAAATATTAAAATTATGAGGGTGAGTTTCTTTATAAAAAGACAGATAGAAGCAAAAGCTAATTGGCTCCTGATAAAAGAGAGTGTGTTTATCTGTACAAAACACTATGTATTAGCCGAGCCGTTTTAATTTATTCTTTGAAAGCCCAAATAGAGCTAAATTAAACCACCCAATTGCAATTACGAGGGGTGTTAATATCACGCATAAATGCATTGTAATGTCATAATAGACACTTATTACCTTCCAAACACTTATACAGTCCGGCAAAATAATGGCCAATTCAACAAATTTTGGTCACGTATGTCACAGTACTTGACAATCTTGTTAGAAAACTTCTTTCTAAGCTTAAGCTTATATTTATCAGCAAGCAACGAATGCAAATTTGAGAAATTACTCACCCTCTGCCGCGAAGAAAACTTGTTGGCCCATGCTGTTTAAAATCTTGTACTTATTGTTCGTTTCAAAGCCAGTGAATGCTGCCAAAAAGAGAAAGGTCAAAGGTAAAGCCGTGAAACGAATAAGTTTAAATTTTTTGTTAGGAACTGAAATCTTAAGAAAGTGACGTAACCACTTGAAACAGTAATCGTGTAAACACGTACCTTCGAGCAGCTCAACTTGTTGTTTTATCAAAAGTTGGTCTATTTGCGTGAGATACTCCAACCCTGGGGGGCAGTTTTCTGGAACTGGTGGAGCTTGCATCCAATTAATTTGTCCCTGGCCACCGGGAGCAGGGTAACCTAATCAGGAAAGAAAATTTTAAGATTTTGAGCATAGTAAACATCTGTTCTGTCCAAGCGAGTAAAAACAAACATGGACAAAGATCGATCTGATCGAAAACACATGGTCTGTCACATTTTAAACCTCCATATTACAGCAACGTTTAATAAAAATGAATAATAAAACACCGAAAATCAGTTTTGTAGCAGGGTTTAAGGGCTGAGCTAAATTTAAAAAAAAAAAACGCGCGAAAGGGATTCGAATGGAATGCTTTCGTAAAGAAGCGGAAATCCCAAGAAGTAAGCTTAAGTTTGAAATAACAACATAACCGATTGTGCGATTTTATCAACACGATTTTTCTGGTAGCAGCCAGACCGAAATATATTAATTAAAAGGGAGTCTATTAGAAATCAAAGGGGAGTAAGAACTCAAAAACTGCGAAAAATAATCAAATATTTACCAGGTTGTTGGCTGACGGGAGCACCATACCCAGGTTGAGCCGGAGCAAATCCTACGCCAGGCTGTTGATTTGGTGGATATCCAGCGTGAGGCGGTGGATAACCGGCCTGCGGTGGTGGATATCCACCGTAAGGCTGTTGAGGAGGAGGATACTGAGCGTTATTTTCTACAGGAGGAGGATAACCATACCCCTGAGGCTGTGCCATGTTTCGCTTCACAACGCACAACGAGGAAACGGCTTCTGGTTCTCAGGTGTTTGTGCCTCGCTATGAAAAACAAAATTACTCTCCTACCCCTAGTAAGTAGGTACGTGCCCTTTGATTGATAAATGTTTTCTAAGCCTATTTTCTAAGTGTTTGAAATTGCAAAGCACTAATATTGTATTGAAATCACTCAAGGCCCTACAAATTTTAGTTATTAATCGAAGTTTTACTGAGGGATTCACTACTTTGAAAAAAAGAAGTTTTCGTGACTTGATGAAATTTTAAGCAATACCCCGTACAGGGTATAGTGGGGATTTTTTTGCCGTTGTCAAGTGTGGCTCTTTGGTCAAAATGGCGGCCGGGGAACAAGACGTTGTGATGGAAGAAAGCACCCCATCTAAAGACCAAGGAGGACAGAAAATGTTCACACTTAAAAAGTGGAATGCTGTAGCCATGTGGTCTTGGGATGTAGAGTGTGATACATGTGCTATTTGTCGAGTACAAGTCATGGGTAAGCGATGCAAAAAGATTAAAATCACTGAAGTTTTTCCGTTTGTTAAAATTTAAGCTTAAGCTTGTTTTTTATGAATTGAAATAGGTGAAATGAATCATATTTTTATGTTAGAGCGGTGGTCTATGAAAGGGGATCCCCTCCAAAAAGTTTTGGAAACGCTTGTTGGGAATTATTAAAGCTTAATATGAAAAATGAAAGTGAACAAAAAAGTATATTCAGCTGCTATGGAAATAAATTTTATATCAAGTAACAAGTTAAAGACACAGTGCTGTCGTAAAACTGCCCAGTTAACTGGACAATTTTTATTATATTTCCGACATGCATCTGTGGGAGCGAACTGCCCTTTATCACCCAACAATCTGAAACGTGACTGACTGACCATGAAAAGCTTGGCGTATATGCTTAAGCTTATTAAAATTATGTCACATTGGTTCCTGTCGAATTTCTAGTCTTATTATTAAAAACCAGAAACCCATAATGGGTTAACCCCTTATGAGTTTCTGTAAAAACTCAACTTTTTTTGGTTATATTCTATTATTAATAAATACCTGTTGCCCACGTCGAGGTATTCTTCTTTAGTAAAATCCAGCTAGTGGTCTATTATCAATGCTGCATTCTCATTGGTTGAGCTACTACTAGGCTATATGTTATAGCCCACTAATAGCAAAAAGTGCGTACTTTTTTGGTGGCAAAAAAGGATTAAAGTCTGGCTTTAACTAGCTAAAAGTTTTTTTATTCTCGATCTTTTTGACCAACTAGTTGGATTTTACTAAAACAATTTTCCTCTTGCCCTAATGGCCTCTGAGTCAATAGCCAATTTGGCCTTTGGCCTCATGGGCTATTGACTCAGAGCCCATTCAGGTTCGAGGAATAATTGTTAAATATTTTGTTGTTCAGAGCTTTTTACTTCATATAAGGCTATTAAATTTCCCTCAATGTCTTGTTGGACTTGTTGAAGGTGAGTTTAATAAATTAGTAACAAGTAAATGACAAAGGTAAAACAGCTGACCTCTTATCGTTGGTTGATTGTGAGGTTTGCTTCCTTCACAGCCCCTTGTATAGTTGTACACGCATGTTAGTTTCTCATCTTAAATTATTAAGCTTATCTTTCCTCCATGCCGTAAATTTTTTTCTGGAACTAAATAACAACTCACTGTTTATTTTGCATAGATGCTTGTCTTCGATGTCAATCAGACAACAAACAAGAGGAATGTGTTGGTATGTAATGTGTTGCTCCAGAAAGTAACCCTGTATTAATAATCCCCCAAGCCTGGAGGAGGGGGGTACTCCTGGGGATTCTTGGTGGGGGTGTGCCACCCAGTTCTCCGACCCTATTTCACACCAAAAAATGTCGTTTCCCACACCCATTTTCAGACCTGGTGTCTAAAATCCATACCCATTTTCAAACCTGGCCTCCAGGCAGAAATTATGTCACCATTACTTAGATTAGGACGTAAACAAAACGATTTCTTATTAATGCATTTCAAATTCACATATTTCTCTTTCTTTCTTATTCATTTGGAATTGAGACAACAAACATGTTGATACACTGATGTAGTTCCCTTGACAACCATACGTGATTCCAGACCAAAATAGGCAAAATGTATACCCATTTTCAGACCGGAAAGGTGCAAAAACCGCACCCTTTGGGGCGGCACATACTTATATGACTCAATAAGGGAGTACCCCCCCTCCCATCACCAGGGCCCCCAAGGCAGGTTTTTTGGTTCATGTTGACTGTAGGGTGTTGTAGTACCTTAAAATACCCTGTCAAATGATTTTGTTGGGGATTGACTGTAATACGTAGGAGGTGTACGAGTGATGAGACAGGAAAATAGTTATTTTTACAGTCAAAAATATGCCTGCTTGCAAGGCACAAGTGCTGGCATTAAATTCTAGCATTAAGTGCCTCTTCCGTCTCACTCTTCATTTTCAAATTTAAAGCACCTGTGCCTTTTTCTCTTGATGATCACAGAACTTGAATGACTGGGAAAAAAATGATTGTTTTCAATCTTATCAGTTTGCAAAAAAAGTAGCCTGTTTAGCTGGCTGTATTGTAGGTGGGTACATAAATGAGAGGCATAGCCACAAGAAAATAGCCTCTTCCCAAAATCCTCTCACAGCTTTGCTACTTAATTGTGTTTCACTAATAAAACTGCCAGCTATGCAGGCTATGCAAAAATGTTACCAGGTGTTAGACTCAAAATGTTTCCAAAAATTTCTCTCTCAAAACAGAACTGCCTTTACTTCTGTTTTGTGATATTTTTGTCAATCATTCAATAATTTTTTATTAATTAGACAAGAATATTGACATCATTCAATAATTATAATATGAAAACAATAGGGTTTATATTCACATCATAATTATGTTTTGGGCCTGATTCAGACTCATTTTAGCTTAAGCCACCAGGCGAGGGTTAAAATAAGTTCTTTAGACAAAAGCAAAATGAGTTCTTTGGACGAAATCCTATGTTGTTACTATTCAAATGAAACCTTCTTGACAGATCTTTTGAACGGCATTTTTCATTTCTTAGGATTCTACAAAAAGAAATCACCCATTTTTGTGTTTCTTTCTTTGGCCACCAGTAGAAATGAAAGGGTTGACAGTACTCACTCTTAAAAAATTTATCAACCTTCCCCCTCCTCCACCTTGCCCCCTCAATGCTCCTCAGCGAACTAAATTGACTTCTGACTATTCTGTTTGTCCATTTCAGTTGTGTGGGGAGAATGCAATCACTCATTCCACAACTGTTGTATGCAATTGTGGGTCGTGCAAAACAACAGATGTCCATTGTGTCAGCAGGAGTGGGTCGTACAAAGGATTGGCCGTTGATATCTTATCAGCAAAACTGTCATAAAATCCATTGGATTTGCACTCAAATTCTTAGTGAATGTGGACAATGGATAGACGATTGCAGTGCGGTTGTCTGCTGAAAGTCAGGAGATATATTACAGCAGAGTTGCATTAATGGCAGATGATTTTCTTACCATGAAGACATCACGTAACAACTGACAATCGCTAAAAGACACTGTTCTTAGTCCCAGTACTTTTACAGTGTGACTACTACTACTACGGATTACAGGAAAATAACAATAACAATAACAATACATTTTATGAGCTGGTGATTGGCTCACAACCAACTTTCTTGGAATGTATTGTTATTTTCCTGTAATCTGATTTGCCAACTTTGTCTAAGTGGCCCCAGTTACAGTTGTCACACTGTAAATGTGGTTGTCACTAAGATTTCAGGTTGCCTTGTTTGGGGGAATTGAACAGCAGGGAAGTTTTCTTTGATTCTATTTTCCTTTCGTTTTCTGAGAAAGTAACCTACAGGTTCATGCCCAGAGGTGTAGAGAGAAATCCCATGCCTTTAGTGACAGCTCTGGCTATACATTGAACTTTTCCTTAATGATAAACTTTAACCAGTAAAGCTACTGGCAGTACATTGTTTTGGGTATAAATACATTTTTTAATTTTTTGCAGAGATAATTTACTTAAATGTACACTACTCCAGTAGTAGAGATTTTGTATAGTAAGCAGGCTATTAAGGGACCTTAATTGACTTTGAAGTATTATAAATCAATGTACTTATCTGTAGGAAAGAAAGTAATAAAATTTATGTATAAAACGCTTTACCTGAATGCCTTATTATGGAGGGGGTTTCCAATCTGATCTGAAAAAAGCATGGCTGGCTAACTTGACAGTAAGCATTCAGATTAGTGGTGAGGGCTACAGAATAAAGAGTGGGGATTAAAAAACAGAAGGGAAGGAGGGAAAGCTAACACCCCGTAACCACGACTCTTTCAAGTAAACTAAACAATTTTTCCTTGTCACTTCAATGACGGTCTTACAGGCCACGTAGAAGAGAAGAGGCTTGCAAGGGTGACCTTTGGCAAACCTGCTACATATGGTTCTGACTTGCAGTTTGTGATCTTGTGTCACAAGCCAAAAGGATGGTGACTTGTGGGGACAAAACGCACCCCAGAAACCAAATCATGTCCTAGAATTTCGTTTCTGGGAAGAATTTTTAGATTCTGGTGGGTGCTTTTGAATTCTGGGATGTGTTTTGATTCTGGGGCATTTTTTGGATTCCAGGAATTGTTTTTGGAATTTGGGGCATATTTTGGAATCTGGGAAGTGTTTTGTCCCTACGAGCCACTGTACAAAGGGATTACCATAAAATTCTGAAAATAAGCCCCTCCAAAAAAGCCCCCTAAATCGTAACGCAAAAAACCCCCCATTAAATCGCCACTCCAAATATAAGCACACCGGGGGGGGGCTTGTACTTGGAATTTGCCCTCAAATACAAAGTAAAAACAAAGCAAAAATGGTAAGTTTCCTCCCCACTACAAGCCAGCCCAATCGATTTCCCTCCGTAGGCAAGCCCCTCCAAAAATAAGCCCCTCAAAAAGGGCCTTTGAAAAATATAAGCCCTGGGGCTTATTTTCAGAATTTTACGGTATTTCTCATTACTGAGGAAAGAAGTAAGCTAACATGGTAGAAAATGAGACTTTACTTCTGTTCACCATACTGAAAGATTGCTAGTGTTACAGAGGTCATAGTAGTTACACTATTATTACCTAAACCCTGTATTAAACTAAAAAATTTACACAGTGGCTCACAATGTTGGGAGAAACTCTAGTGAATTAGCCACACAGAGAAAAGTATCTTGAAAAGGGCAACAGCCACTGTGGCATCTACAAGTCAATACTGTAACATGAAAATTTATATGAAAATATTGTTTGGGCTATCAATATTATATACATCTAACATCACATTCACCAGTCAGGGCTTACATGTATCTATGAGGGATGCAGCCTTAAGCAACAACATATTAATTTATGTGGTCACTTATAGTAAATTTGCATACTTTTGTTGAAGTAACTAAAATTAATGCAAATTGTTCCAAAATCGCACCAATAATAAAATTACTTTTCTTCCGTGGATATTTATGTTATTTAGCCCCTGGGTAATTTTTATCTGCAGAATTAAAAACTTTTATGTTGAAAGAATACTTTGGGGACCAGTTATCATAGGATGAAAGAATAACTTGCCACCATTTTGGAACAAGGTGCATGAGAAGCATGACTCTCAGACGAAATATGGTCACCAGTTGCTACAACTTCCTCAAGTAGTGAATTGCATACAAAAGTCAAAATATATTAAAAGCAAGAGACTCAATGTTTGGGTTGGAAAGAGGAGGTACAGCTCAGTTTTGCTGAATCATCTTCAAGGTGTTTGTATACCGAATAAAATCTCTTTCACATGTTTTACTCAGCTTGAGCGTCAAAGCAAAGGTCAGTTCAATGCACCTAATCTTGAATTTCCAGAGGGGAGGGGATGGGAGGGGCATTAAACCAATAAAACCTTCTTGAGTATGGGTATTTTCTTGAATGACACAGGCATGGCTCTTGATCATGAGCTTATGGCTAATAAGTGGGCAACAAAGTTCTCGGACCCTTACTTTATGTAAAACAAAAGTATGCAAATTTATTATAGTGATGTTAGTTTGGCAGGAAAGGCAGTTACTGCAGAAGCACTGTTCTGTAAAAGGATGGTCCATAAGGATTACTTTTATTTTATCAAAAAAGGAATGCACCAGTTTGCTAGAGCCCCATTCACACCATGATATAATAATAGTTACATTTTAAAGCTCTTTGTGAAACACACAGTTTAAAATAAATATTGTGTCCTTTCACAAAAGCTGCTTTCCAGTCTTTTGCTGACTACAGATTTAGCACAAATGTTATGTCACAGCCAAGCTCAGCCAATGATCCAGCCTTCTGTTACCAACTTTCATTTTGTTAAAACGCTACAATTAAACAATCATGTTTTGTTGGTGTGAATGGGGCTTCAGTCTGTAAACTGCAAAAGTGGCAAGCAAATATGAATAAATAAATGCTTGTTTTCAATTTTTTTTGCCTCCCATGTACAAAATGGATGATCACAGAGTACCCAGGTTCTGGCAGAGTGATTCTGTGCACCTAGTAGTCTAATACCCTGCACCACAGACAAAACTAAACTTCTGGTTAACTCCATCTGTCAGACAGTGCCAAAATCCTTGTTCTGGGACCCCGGCTGCTTACCATCACGGCTCGAAAAAAAAACTCTTGAATTCCAGCTTGTCCTTTGGGTATTTAGCTCTCACATTTCCCTTGCCTGGGGTCACTTCTCGCTCATCTTAGTTAATGATTTTGTTCGTGGATGATTTGCCTGGAACCTCGCCCTTTGGGCAAGTAAGTTTAAAAGTCACTTGCCTAGTAAGAAAATCTACCAGTCCCGGACTACCGGATGGGGCTTTTTTCAAGCCCTGACCAGGTTTGAGTATGCACCATGATTAGCTGTTAAAAAGCCATTATAGTCAATTTCGCCCATCAGGTAGAAGGGAAATTCTAAACATATTTCCTGTAATTTGTTGAGTCCATTGCGGTCCCAGAACAAGGATATCAGGGCTGTTTTGCAGACGTTACTAACCAGGGTTAGATTTCATCTGCGATGCAGATTAGTAGTCTTTAAGTCCTGTTATACTGTTGTTTGTTTTCCAGTAACTTTAGGTTTGGCATACTCTACAAATTCATCTATTAACACAGGCCATGCCCCTGAAAACAATGAAAAAATAACAATGTTAAAACAATAATTTTCAAATCCAATTCTTGGCTATCATCAGCCTTGATTTCAGCATTAATAAAACAGTGAAAAAAGGACAGGATTTGACTACTGGTTAAGTGGAAAAACACATATAATTTGTGTTTGAAATTATTATAATGTTATTTTAACAATCATTTAAGACATAACTCACCTTCTTCATCATAATTACTCATGTCATCCTCAATCATGTTACTGAAATCTAAGAGAAGGTTCCAGGTGTCTTTGGATATTGCCCTTTTATGATGGAACTGTAAAACAACATTTAAACTACACATAAAAATAAGATCAAATTTAGAAAATTACAGAATAACAGAGCAGACTGATAGGAGTATGAGGGTTCTCAATAGATTTTTCAGGATTTCCTTTATTTGAAGCTCGGGATTCACGATTTTAAAGCAAAATCTGGGCAAGACTCAAAAAAATACATGTAGCCATTGGGATTACGGGATTGCGCAAAACTTTGAGTTGGGATGACAGGATTGAAGAGCCCTGTTGGGGAGGCTCAGGTATGGCTGATCTATGTACAAAATGTTTTGCTGAAGTCCACTTGATTAAGTTAGTATTACCTTTAAGAGAATTAAAAAATACATGATAAGTAAGAAAGAGGTAATTATTAGTAAGAAATAATACACTGTCAAAGATTCCATAAGAAAGTAAGGAAAAAAGACTTACAAGAGCTTTAACGACATGTTAAGTATACATATTGGAGTAATAATAATGTACTGGGATGTGGGCACCCTTTGTTATGAAATAAGTTCTACACTCATACTTATTATGAACAAAAACCTGAACTTACCATGAGGAATTCGCACCAGATATCAAGGAACTTAAATCTTCCATTAAGGACTATATTCCAATATGCAATGGACATATCCAAGTCTGAGAAGAGAACAAATAAATCCAAATCTACTCCTAATGTTCCAGTGACAAGTGGCAAATATCTTTAATCAGAAAATTGAAAAAGGTTACAAAAACATAATGCAATGACCAAACCAGTCTGGAGCTAGTTAGAAACCAGTTTAACCAGTCTAGAGCCAGTTAGAAACCAGTTTATCCACATCTCTAGGCAGGAATGGATGGTTTGTCAGTAGAGACTGCTATTTGTGCACTGTACATGTTGTGAAAAGGCAAACTATGCTCACAGGGTAACGGTACTTGGTACCTAAAATTCTTAACAACTTAATTCTCTGTGTTCATTGTTAACCCCGTGAAAAACATTGTTATTACAATGTACCTAAAACATCATTTAGGCAAAGTTAACCTTGAGCTTAGTAATGCATCAGCAATCTTCCCAATCAGTAATAAAAGACCTGCAGGGTGGCCTTAAGGGGTATTGCATTATATGTGCGGTGCTATTAGCTGATCTTTGGGGATCAAAAGCACGGCTACTGCTTGGGAATCACTGCAGATTCTTGCGCCCTCTCCTCCCTTGCGATACTGTGTTTGGCTTTTAAGGTATTATTTTTCTTTAAGGTAAGCTGCTTCCACAGAATTCTTTCAGTGTGATGGTGCCGGTTAGCAGGAACTCAGGGTAGCTTATGGCATGTGGCAAACTACTAACCTTTAAGACACCACTTCTAAGCTCATATGTTTGCAATGAGTTTGAATATCACACCCTTGCATCTAAGCTTACTTTTCTAGTTGTTCATAACACAACATAGACTGTCACAACATGTTCTTATGACCAAGCAGAGAGAGAGTTTTTAATAATTATTATGAATGAAATTAATTAATAATATCAAATTCATCTTACCTAAACTTTTTTGGCCCGGATTTTTCGCAAAATTAAATGTGAACTGGTATAAATCTTTAAATTTGCTACTGTCTCTAAGGTCAGCCTCTAAACTGGGAAGCTTACTTCTGAGCTTGTCGATAGAGTCACACCTATAACACAAGAAAATCATGAGTATATCATTCATTTACTGCGGCTGGGTTGGCAGAATCAGTACAACGCTGGAATGCAAAACAGTTGCCAGTTGTTCAAAAGGTGGATAGTGCTATCCACAGGATAAATCATTATCCACTATATAACACAATAATTGTTTTCTAAGTACTTTAATCCTGGCATTGATTTATCTGGTGGATGGCACTTGATTCAGACTTGAATTATTGTACCCTGGTAAGGCTGAATCAGCACATTCTTAAGAATTATCATGATATGTTTTGAAATGGGCTTTTATGAAAAGTTCCATCGTTTCACATGGATTCAGTTTAACTTATCAACAACAAAACTTAACCACTCCAGTTACTTATATACACAACCAACCAACACTACTCCCAAGATATGGGCTGTTTAACAATAAGCAATGACTTACCCTAGATCTACCATTCCATCAATAAATTCCTTCCTTGTAAATTCACACTGTGTTGCAGCTCTGAATTTCCAAGCAATTATTAGTACTTTAAGACTGGTAGGATCTAATTTCAGGTCTTCACAGAACCGCCCAATTCCTTCTGCCATGATTTTATCATCATCTGAGGGATCTAATGAAAATGGTAAGATGTAAGAGGTCGGTATATATAACAGTTCTACCTCCTATAGGTGACTCCTCAAAATGTGAAGATTGAATTAAGCTGGTCAATTATGGGAGGTGACGCTTAGGCAAACTGAAGCACAGGAGAGCTCTTATTGCATGCAATTTCTTAGTAACCAGATACCATTTGCATTTTCAGTAAAAACCAGTGGTAGATCCAGACCTTCAGATAAGGGGGGGGGGGAGGGTGGGGCAGTCATCAAGACCCTGACAAAAAGGGGGGCCCGGTATCAGAAAAAGTTTTTTCAGCCCTTTGGGCCTCAGTTTGGTCTAAAAAAAAAGGGGGGACCAGCCCCCCCCCCCTCCCCCGGCCCCCCCCCCGGGTCCACCCCCGAAAAACCAAATAAAAAAACGAGGCCAAAAAACAACAAAATGATCCAAACAAGCTTGATTAATAAAAGAAAAAAAATCTTTCTTTCAGGACAGATGCGGAAAAACCTGAGCAAACAAAATGGACC